GACAAATATTTACATTAGTAATATCTCTTAATTATCTGATCTGATTAAACTGAGACACACTGGAAGGGAATACAATATTTTATGGGCAGGAACTCGCTCATGGTCTAATGTATTAGCTATGAAATAAAGTCTTTAAAACAATGTTCTCAAAGGAAAGGAATTACATTGTGTGCTCACATGAGTATGTTGTGTCAAATCACAGTTTGCAAAAGAAAATTATCCTCAATTTTGAATTTGTAACACATTAATCATAAAATTGACTATTTTCCAATCTTCAAAGAATATTTTATATATACTCTAAAATAATATAAGAGAAAGATAAAGAAGGAAAACAAAACAAAACCTATTAATTTTCCCAACCACCTGTTTATGGACTAACCAGAAAAAATTTTACCACCTCTGCCCAGTCCCTTCCATGACCTCCCAGACTTCACTCACCACCTGTGCTGATTGTTGTTAAATACTTTTCTCTCCTTCCTCTCCCCTCCAGTGTTTATGGAAGAGAATTTACACTGTTGACTAGGGATGCAATCTGTGAGCTCTGGAGTCAGGTTCCCTAGGTTCAAATTTTGGTCCTAGCTATGAGATTTTAGGCAACGTACCTAACTTTTCTAATTCTCAGTTTTCTTATCTATGAAATGAAGGTAATGACAATCCATTTGTATTCATACATGTACAAGTGGAAGCACATTTATACTTCTCATAGAGGTTTGGTAGGGATAAATGACATAAGGATGTAAAAGACAGCATAGTACATGCTCGATAAGAACAAGTCCCTGGTATTCAATTATTTATATAATTCATTCTGGGAAACGTAATAAACAAGCTTGTCTTTTTCCTCTTTCAGTTAAAAAATGTGTACTTACTGAGGAAAAGGAAGATAAAACATTATCTTATATTATGATGAAATAATGCCAAATCTGCAAATAAATGCAGATGTTTTCAAACATCTCGTACACTGAGTACTAATATTTTTGCAGGTTTTCTTTGCACTGGGCATGTTCTCTTTGTGTGTGTGTGTGTGTGTGTGTGTGTGTAGGAAGCCAATGCATCTGTATTCACTAGTCCTTTCTATGAGCTATATGTACATCATCGAATTCTACATACATTTTTTTTTTTTTTTTTTGGTCTTTTGTCTTTTTTCCGTGTCCGGCAACGGATCGCAACCCTCAGTGTTGCCCCCGTACCGGGCCGGGGACCGGCAACGGGATTGCAAGCCTCGGCGTTGCTCCCGCGCCTCGCTCAGCCAGCGAGCGGGAACCGGTCTGTATGTGGGATCCGAACCCTCGGGCGGGAGCGCCGCCACGCTTCCCAAGCGGCGCACCATCCAGTGCGCCACCGGGCCGGCCCCTACATACATTATTTTTAACCCTCATTTAACCATCCAGACAGATAAAATTTATTAGTCCCATTTTACACTTTAGAAAACTAAAGCCCAGGTGGTAGCATAACTCATCTAAGTTCAGACAGCTAGTAAGCATTGCAGACATACAATTGAAACCCAGGTCTTGTTCCCTCAGAGTTAGTACTGTTTTCCCACTATTACATATATTTTAGGAATCTAATACTAGTGGCCTAAGGAGAAGACTGATTCATAAGTTCACTGATAGAGAATCAGCATTGTCAGTACTAAATGATTTTTGTGTCCAAACTTAACTCTTTTTACTGATAGCATATGTCATTTTCACAAATAAAAACATTTTCATGAGTTAGAATTTTTACTCACATATATAATAGTGCACATTTATACAAATTATAAAAATACATAATTATACCCAGTATAAGGTAAGGATCTTGCATATGCTAATATATATTTATCCTTCATAATATACCTCTGATCAGAACCATACTGGTGAAGCTGGTGATTGTAAGGGATATGTTTGGGCATAAGAGACCCTGTCATACCATCTTGATTTGGTTTGGTGGTTCTATGAAAAATGGAGAAAGATTAAGTCCTTCAGAAAAACCTTTGTGGCAAGGAAAGTAACACCATATTTAACATGGTTCTTGATGGAAAAATATTTCCCATTGTTCAGACAAATGTAAAAGGTTAGGGAAATGCAATCACAGCAGTTGATTCTGAATGTTGACCTCAGAACTTATGCTCTGAAGGAATGTTGATGACTCTGATGATGTGTTGGCTAATCTGGATACCATTAAAAGCTCCATTTGACAAGCACAATGATGAACTGCACCTTTCCCCTCAAGCAACATGTGTTTGGGTGATAGACAGCTCTGTTAAGTTGGGGATTTATTTATTTTCCAAGAACAAACTTTTTTTAAATTTTGTGTTGCAAACCCATGAAGCTGCCTAAAACTTAGACAACTTACTGCTGATAAAGGGAAGCTTCACCTGAGCTTGGGCCTTGAGGGGTGGCAGGAGGGTACAAAGTGTAATGACACATCTGGTCCTCCAAAAGACAAATTTTCTGTTTGGATTCTAGGACTTCTGATTCCATTGAATGAATCATGTTATGCCTCAAAAACAGGCTTTATTATCTACCTAATTTTGTTGTATAAATAAAGTTCAATGAATAAAATGGGAACAAATAATTCTAACCCCAACTTAAATGTTCATTGTTGGATATTGTTTTTTCCTTGACTTATTAACAAACAACTCTCTTGCCATCCTTTATTTTAAATATTTCATGCATGGCAAAACAAAAAGAATATATTTGACAGTTAAATAGATATTTTCAAAATCAGGTGAATACTCTTTCTCGTTGCTTTTGTTGCTTCCTTAGAGTCTTGGAAATACTGAGTTTATTTAATATTTTGCAATAAAGTAGTATGTTCTTCTCCAAAAAAGTAGTGAGACTGCTTTGTCAGAAAGGAGGAAAGCCTTCTATATTATAATTTATAACAATGAAAGAATGGGCCCTATGGGAACAAAACTAATTGAATTACTTCAAATTTCAACAGTGCCTTTGATTTAGTTCTTAAACTCTTTTGCTTTCAAGAGTATAATTTAAAATGTAAATGCACTTGGAGATATAAACTTTAAACTTACATCAGTTAATATTAATTATCATTTAAGACCTTAGCAGGAATTAGTGGGCAATTATTAGAGATAAATTGAAATACATTTCATGCCAAATCAGAAAGCCTGGCTATGAACACGTTCTTCAAGATTTGCTGCTTACCTGGTTTTGACCTCTCTGGACTCAGAAGCTTGATTTAAAAAAAGAGGGACCATCCTTGGTAGAAAATATCTACAATAGTATCTTAAAGTGTTCTTAAATTTGAGATTGTATGATCACGATACATGGTTCATCAAGAACTATTAGCTCATATTATAAAAGGAACTCTAAGCACATTAATATTACTTAGGGTCTCAGCAGGAAATAGGTGGCATCCTCAAAAAAGTAATTCAAGATAATGTAATGCAGGGAATAAAGGCAGGCTTAAGGGAACTGACAGATGATAATGAAGCACTTAAAGATTAAGAGCAGGGGGCCGGCCCGGTGGCGCACTGCGCTAGTGCACCGCTTGGGAAGCGCGGCGGCGCTCCCGCCGAGGGTTCGGATCCCACATACAGACCGGTTCCCACTCACTGGCTGAGCGAGGCGCGGGGGCAACGCCGAGGGTTGCGATCCCGTTGCCGGTCCCGGTCCGGTACGGGGGCGACACTGAGGGTTGCGATCCGTTGCAGGACACGGAAAAAGACAAAAAAAAAGATTAAGAGCAGGAAGCTACTATTACCCTTAGGCCTGAAGATGCCAGGAGGTAGAGTGTGTAATTGGGACATAAGAGTAAAGGCAGTGGTGGAGGGGCAGACTGACAGGACCTCTGACTCTAGACTGAACAGAGCCATTGCAGAACCATGGCCCAGCAGGTCCAGCAGGGAGAACATACACCCTGCCTTCTCGTTCCCCTTGCTCTTTGATCTCTTACTGGTGCTTCTTGTTGACCAAATCCAAATGGGAGTCAGAGTGCTAGGGACTAGCCAGTGTGGTATCTAGAAGCTATTTCTTCCTCTCCCAACACAGAGGAAGGTGGGGAATGGACCTGGAAGGGCAGATGGAGAATAACCAACACAACATTTTGCCATAATCTTAATTACACAGGAGGATATCAATCTCTAGTTATTCCTCACCGAGGAGCTGATAGGAACACTCTGCCATTATTCTGCTCCTCCAAGTTTCTCTTCTTCCAGAGTCTAAAGTTCTCTTCCAGGTTTTTGGGTTTTTTTTGCAAAGTAATCTCTTTTTTCTTTCTTTTTTACTCAAGTTTGCTTCGTACCTATATCTCCTTATTACGTTCAAAATGTTCCACCTGGGCCGGCCCGGTGGTGCACTGCTACAGTGCGCCGCTTGGGAGTGCGGCGGCGCTCCCACCGAGGGTTCGGATCCCACATACAGACCGGTTCCCGCTCACTGGCTGAGCGAGGTGCGGGCGCAACACCGAGGGTTGCAATCCCGTTGCCGGTCCCGGTCCAGTACGGGCGCGACACTGAGGGTTGCGATCCGTTGCCGGTCCCGGTCCAGTACGGGCGCGACACTGAGGGTTGCGATCCGTTGCCGGTCACGAAAAAAGACAAAAAGGAAAAAACAAAAAATGTTCCACCCGTCTTGGCAATAGGAGGGGCTTTTAATATTTATTTTAGTGGGAGAAGTCACTTTCTGACTGGGGTGAAACTTCACAATATAGAATAATTATTTTAAATGTATAATCAAATATCTAACATCTTTTCACATTTTTCTCTATCCTTTATTTCTCTTATTTTGGTTCCTTTATATTAATTTATTTTCCATTTTTTTCTGTTTATTTACAATGCTATGAATTAAATGTTGACATCGTGATACATAATAAATTGTGTGTGTGTATTGGGGGGTGCTGGTGAGAAGTGTTTAAGATGGTCCTATAGATTAACAGGTAAGTTAAAAATCAGAGCAGATTTTACAGTTTGCAGATTGATTTATCTCTATTTCTCAGAGATGGTGACATGCTTTGTACAATTTATATGATTCTAATTATGCCTCCTTTTCTTCTCCACTCAGATTCGAAGCCAGAGCAAGGCCTCTGGGTCTGGGCTTTGTGAAGGGGATGAAGTGGTCTCAATCAATGGCAACCCTTGTGCAGACCTCACCTACCCAGAAGTCATCAAGCTCATGGAAAGCATAACAGACTCTCTCCAAATGTTCATCAAAAGGTATCACACATCTGCTGGAATATATATTTTCTCTTGAAGCTAGATGGGATGATTATAGCTTCTTCTACATATGTAACTTGTCATGGGGAAATTGGATACTTTGTAGAAGGTCAGTATAGTTAAAGAGAAAAACCACAGTGTTTGAAAACTAGGCAATTCTATTCAACTGAACTTTCTGGTTAATTAAGAATTAACTTTAAAAAGTTTTTTTTTCAAGCACTTTGTTGAAAATCTTAGGCATTTTAGACTTCTTCCTTAGAAAGCTCAGTATGTTGAGCATAATTTAATATTTCTTTGACAGGCCAAGCTATTGTGATGGATCAGTCACTCAATTATAATTCCCATAATCACAGACGAATTTAAAATGTTTAAGTGTTAACAATTACACTGTACAAAAAAAAAAAAACAATTACACTGTACAATTTTTCATGGAAGGAGGATGCCTAGGAAAAGGAAAAACACAACAACAAAAAACTTAAAAGCAGCCCCAGTTCTGCTTGTCAGGACCTCCAGTAAAGCCAATATTTGAGCATGTATAAAAGCAGATGATTAGAATAAAGTTTATCAACACAAGTCATTTGTGAATTCAGTCTCTTCAAACAACACCATCTCTCCCTAATTGTTTAAAAATACAAAAGAAAACTTTGAACATAGAACAGAAGAAAACAACAGTGAAGGTAATAGCAAAAAACTGTAACATCAATAATTTTACAGTGTACAAATCACAGTACAATGCATACTGATTTGGCTACTGAAACCCTGACCATTGCATTATGTGACAAATCCAGAAAGGAAGGCTCTGGCTTCCTAGAGAACAGCCTTCAGGAAGATGTCACAGGACATCTCAAAAAGAATCTCAGAGCCCTCCATGTTTTGCCTTAACTGCAAAAATACTACAGACAGTAATACCCCTCTGTTAGTCATTTAGTACGATTCCATTTTTCTATAAAAATGAACTCACTATGCCCCAAATCTTGTGACAATAAAGGAAATCTAGCATTATTCCTACAATCTTCCATCTAAATACTTACTAATCAAGCCCAGTGTTTAAGGCCTTAGTGTCCCACTTATTTATAAAGCTGCCATTTGCTTTTAAAAGACACCTGACAGGAATATTGCCAAGTGTGGTCACAGAGTTTGCCATTATTGTGTGTAAATCTGTGAGGTATTTGAAGATCTCCATCTTTGTAAACGTTTAATCACATCCAAAATGGGGAAAAAAAAAAAAAAACTTTTCTCATTTATCCCTTTTTAGTGTCTTTATTGATTTTATGAGGCCAATTTCTTTGTAATACATTTGTTGTCTGGTCCATCCCCTACTAGTCTTGTTTTGATTATAATAGCTATCATTGGGAAAATCCTTAGTGGTTTAAAGCTGAGTCTTTGGCACATATTTACTTTCAGAAATAAATGGACTAGTTCTCTGCTGCTTTTCGTAACTGAAATCATGGTTTATTATTATATTCTCTTAAATATTTTGACTTTTTCCAAAATAATTAATTGATGGGATTCAAAATGGAATCCCAAATTAAAATCAATCCAAAGGCAATCCTCCTGATCATGATTATCATCGTCATTACCACCACCACATTGGATACATCTGAACATTATTTCCTACAAGGAAATATTTCTCTTACTCGTATCACTCGCTTCTATCTAGCACTAGCAGACTAGTGTTTTACTTTTCATGGACTATTGCCCAGAGATAACTGCAAAAAACTATTTTTTAAAAAACTCCTTTAACATTAAGTTTTCATTATCTTAAATTTTGTTAAAATAAGAGATAAAAATAAATAATTATATAATTATGGCATATAAGTTGTGGAATGAAATACCTGTATAGACTGAAGGGAAATGAATGTTTTAAGGTACAAAGTTTTAATTTCTCTCTCTCTCATGCTTTTGTGATTTTTATTCATTTATATACATGTTACTTCAGCTACGAATAAATGTTAACATTTATCTGGACTGCTTGCCTGTATTCCAGTCTGTAAGGCTGGGATGAAAGGAAACTACTCTCTTCTCAGCTTCATAACTGATTGCTAAAATAATTCAAAGTGATTTAATCTACTTCCATCTCAGAGCCTTCCTAAATTAACACTCTCTGACCTTTTGGTACCCTAAAATTCAGTTTAATAGAGTATATTCATCATTTCCTATATAAGAATAATCTAATTTGCTGTCACCATGTTTTTAAAATACTATATTATAATGTTTTTTAAAGACTATTTTACCAGGAAGCTTTTCAGATTACTTACATAGAGAAAGCTTCATTTGGTTTGATTGTTAGTTTGTTTTTGCTTTGCTTAGTTTGGTTTTGCTGCATGTTGTCAAAAGCAAAGTAGGAGTAAATATTTTGAACATTGGTCTGAAATTCTGCTACCACAAATTCTGAGGTAAATCTCTCTGAGTAGAACAGAAGTAGGAGCTCACCCCCTTCAATTGATGATCCCCACATTAGTCAGGGTGCACACTGAGGGAGCAGGAAAGGGGCGGAGATGGCTACTGCTGCTGCTTAAAAAAACACACTAATGTAAGAAATGAAGGCATCTCCTCCAGCTGTTGTGTGAATGACGCTTCTCTTCTAAAAGCATTTCAGGTTTAAATTAGAGCTTTAAAAAGAAGTTGTTCACTCCTAAACTGGCATAGCTTCTCACAAATTCCTTATTTGCAAAACCAACTAGATCAAAATTAAAGTCAAAATCAAAGGACTATGGTGAACAGCTCCGGGCTCCTTAGCTGAGAGATAAAGGAACAGTTTGACTTCAAAGATCCTAAAAGGAAAATGTTGCAAGAGACAGGTTCAAATAGAAGAAGGGAAGACATCTCAGATTATAAATACCCCATGACTTAATGATTCATTGCAGCATGGAAAGGATTTCTCTTTACACAAGAGTACTGGGCTGGGGTCCACTTATTACAAAACACATGCTCACTGGGACTTAAAAAACAGCTTCTATTTCATTCCTTTCAAGAAAGCACAGCCTCTAGAAGGATCCCTTGAATTATCTATAAATTAAGATTGATCTGAAGTTGCTGGACATGTTTATGTGACTAAAATGTGTAGAACAAAACTCAGTCAATAGATGTTGAAATACTTTATCACATTATAGCAAATACAGTTATTTGGAAAAACCCAAATAATTACAGATAGAAGGTGGCCATGTAGCTACAACCTGTGCTTTTTAAGCATAAAAGCTGAATTTAGGATGGATTTAGGTTTCATAATCATTTTTAAGTATTTTTGTTGTGCTTCAACATTTAAAGAAAACTATTATTTAAAGAAGAGCCTTTTAAATAATAGTATAAACATGTTGCCAATTTCTGTTTTCAAATATGTTGCAGCTGACATTTAGGAGGAAATATTTTGACTGTATCATGTATTAGACATCATAAAAGTGTCAGGAAATTCTTTGGCAGCTGTAACACACTCTGATTTAACTGTCTGGAATTATTTTTCTATGTGTAGACCATCCAGTGAAATAAGTGAAGCTTTGATCTCTGAAACTGAAAACGAAAACCATGAGCAGCATCTCACACATGAGGGGTACGTGGAAAGTACCACCCTGCAGATTCGGCCAGCCACCAAGACCCAGTACAGAGAGTTCTTCATCGCCCCACTCACGAGTGGAGTTCCCCTAGCCGAGGACCAAAGAAGTGGTCCCAGTTGTTCAGAGGGTGTAAAAGAAGAAACAGGCCTGAGCTACCAAAGGGCCCCTCAAATGCCTGACTCCCAGAAAGAACGCTTGGCAGAACAGGTCATCTTAAGGGAGAAGGCAGAAGTGGGACGGCCAGGCCCTGTGGTTGAGCTACAGCTGTCCCTCTCACAGGAGAGACACAAGAGCACTAGTGGCCCTGTAGTGGCTCTCCTAGGAGCTGAAAAATCTAAGTCTCCTGGCCCAGATTCTAACTTACAACATGATGGGATTGTCTACCTAAATTCAGTCCCTACTAGCGAGAAAGCAGACCCTTCTCTGAGGTCCAGCAAGACAATCCAGATCTCCAGTGGCCGAGAGCTGAGAGTGATCCAGGGAAGTGAAGCAGGAGACACGGGGCTGCCCCGGGTGGAAGTGATCCTCGACTGCTCTGACAGGCAGAAGACAGAAGGGTGCAGGCTTCAGGCAGGAAAGGGGTGTGTGGATTCTCCAGTGGAAGGAGGGCAGTCAGAAGCACCTCCTTCTCTGGTTTCCTTTGCCGTCTCATCAGAAGGCACAGAGCAGGGAGAAGATCCACGCTCGGAAAAGGATCACAGCAGACCTCACAAGCACAGAGCACGGCACGCACGTAAGTCCTGCTCTGGTCAGTGCCTGGGCTGTCAGAAGGGGCCTGGGGGGTTAGGACATTTTGCTGCTGCTTAGCCTGCGTGATTTTTTTTTTTTTTTAATTTTGTTATGTCTCTCATCGGCTTTTGAAAAAAGAATCTGATTAATGCAGAAAATAACAAATGTGGAATTGTGGAGAATACCAATTTCTGAATGGGAAGCAATAAATTTGAACTTTACAGTAAATTTAAGTGTTTTTTTCATGAACTTCTGATTATCCCGAAAAGCATAGGAAATGTTAAAGAAAATAATACTGTCCATGTGCCTTTTTTATTTGTTTCGGAATATTATATTTCATGTTAAAATGGCATAAAAGAATTTTGGAAGTCATGTGGACTCCAAACTTCAGTGTCAAAAATTGTTGAGTCTGCTGCTGAGAGGTATCTTTAAAATACATGCTCTACCACTGATATTAAAAGCAGATCCTAGTTCTGAAAAAAATCATTGTGCAGCTTGATGATGCTTGCAGAAGTGAGTTTGACAGACAAGGACATGTGTAATACTGAGCAGTTACATGATCCTCTCCATTTTGTAAATCTTCACTAGACTGCATAGTGTTTCATCTACCTTCTAGACACAGAGCCAGTCTCCAGAGCCATGTGGAGCCACTTAAATATCCCCAAATATAAAATATACTTAAATTGAAGTCTTTTTATGGCATTTTGTTTTACCCAGGGGAATAGGAACAGAAAGAAGAATAAAGATAAGACTTACAGTTAGGTATTATGATTTTTGTTGTTTTCTTTTATGTGTATACATTTTTTACAAATTTTGGAATTTTACTTGACGATGTAAAGGCTGACTGGCAAAGGCACTTGAATGTATGAATGATATACAACAGCAATGAACTTGGTTATTCAAAGCAGTGTATTAAGTCTTCTAAACTATTGTTATTCCTTTCAAAGCATATTTTTAGCATAACCATTTGTAGCTTTGTTGGCAAGTGTTATTAATCATTCCTTACACTCTAAGCATCTGTATGCCATCTTTACATTTATAGCATGTTAAACAAAAGTATTAAAACAGCATTCACATGCTTTACATGTTGGCAGTGAAGTTGACAACTGCACAACAGTGATTGTCAACTTAGTAATAAGTTGTATAACACTAGTCAAAAAAAGAAATTACATTTAGTAATTAAATAAGTGTGGTAATAAAACCACACTTCTAACTATTTTCTCTGTATAACATTTCATCCCTGGTGAGTATCTGTAACTTTGTAATAAAATTATTTCCTCTGATTATATTTTATTTTTTAAAAATTAACTGTTAAGTCTGATTCTTTTTCAGTAACAAAAAGAACTAATTTTCAATCATAAAATATTATAATTTTTCTGAAATGTTCATTTAACTATTTTGAGGAATTAAAAGTTTATTTGTGAATCATACTTATTATCATTAAAAACATGATTATAATTAACTGATGCTATAAATTAATTTGCCACCAATTGATTTTTGATAACAAAAATAATAAAAGAAAAATTTTAAATATAAACTTTTGCAATTTTATAGATGTCAAACTCTTGTTTTACATTATTTAATATCCACATCAGTTTTAATATACAGTTAAAAGGGTCACAAGTCATATCATTTTTAAACTTCTTCAAGATTTACACTTATTCTTGCTGCAATCAAAGTAGTATTATATTTCCAAAATAGCAACATATTTACAAATTTGTCTGGACAACTTTGAAGAGAGAGTTTCATACAGGCAACTCTTGATCTAGTATCATGTATCTCAATGATCTAGTAGTCTGAATTATAATTAATTATTGATTCAGTACCTTCAATTATTAATTCAGTGTTTTAAATTTGTATTAATTCAGTAGTTGTGAATGGAAAGATTTGGGGTTGTTGTCATACTTTGAAACAAAGAAAAAAAAGAAAAAGAAGAAGAAAATCAAAGTATCTAAATTTATATTAAAACATTTAGAAAATTTTAAAATTCTTCTTGGGACACCTCTCTCCCTCTTTAAGACACTTGGAAACTGTTTTATATTGGCACTTTAATTTTTAAATATGAAAGTACAAGGTATGCCGTATCTTGTTTTTCAGAAAATACGTCCTTAAATTATGTCCTTTTAAATTTTAATTATGGCCTATTAACTGGCATTTACTAGCCAGTTTTTATTGTTAAAATGTAAGGATCCATAGAGAAACAAGTGTATGAAGAATATATTCCAATCAGAGTAAAATGTATTCACATGAACAAATGGAACAGGGCATTGCATAGTGTTAAATATATTATGTATTACTATAGACATATACATTTTAAAAGAAATAAGAGAAATGAGTTAGAGTTCTTCAAAATTCAGTACCAAATTGTAAGAATTTTTTAAATATTTATTTTCCCCCAGGGGAGTCAGTCAGTTTTGGGGTTGCTGTGGAGTCTTTCTCGAACTCATCAACTCAATATAATTTTTGTATTTTCCCTAGGGCTCAGGAGGAGCGAAAGCCTATCAGAAAAGCAGGTGAAAGAAGCAAAATCTAAATGCAAAAGCATTGCCCTTCTTCTGACAGATGCGCCCAACCCCAACTCCAAGGGGGTGTTGATGTTTAAGAAGCGACGTCGGAGGGCCAGGAAATACACCCTAGTCAGTTACGGTACTGGAGAGCTTGAGAGAGAGGCAGAGGAGGAGGAAGACGGTGACAAAGAGGACACGTGTGAAGTTGCATTTCTTGGCACGAGTGAATCAGAGGTGGATGAAGAGTTATTGTCTGACATTGACAACGACACACAAGTTGTGAACTTTGATTGGGATTCAGGACTGGTGGACATTGAAAAGAAATTGAACAGAGAGGACAAGATGGAATTGTTGCCAGACACCACAGGCAAGGGAGCCCTCATGTTTGCCAAGAGGAGGGAGAGAATGGATCAGATCACAGCCCAAAAAGAAGAGGAGAGAGTGGGTGGAATGCCAGGCAGAGAACCAGATGCTGCCCAGACAGATGGCCTGAGAACCATGACTTCTTACCAAAGGAAGGAAGAAGAATCGGTGAGACTGCAAAGCTCTGTGAGCAAAAGCTACATTGAGGTGAGCCATGGTCTTGGCCATGTACCCCAACAGAATGGCTTCAGTGGGGTGTCTGAGACAGCAGAGGCCCAGAGGATGATCCCTATGAATAGAACGGCCAAACCCTTCCCAGGGTCTGTGAACCAGCCAGCAACCCCCTTTTCCCCAACCCGAAACGTGACAAGTCCCATCGCTGACTTTCCTGCTCCTCCACCTTATTCTGCAGTCACTCCTCCACCTGAAGCCTTCTCCAGAGGCATATCAAGTCCGATCACTGGCCCAGCACAGCCTCCTCCATGGCCGCAGCCTGCCCCCTGGTCCCAGCCAGCCTTTTACGATACATCTGAGCGCATAGCTTCCCGGGATGAGAGGATCTCAGTGCCAGCAAAAAGAACAGGGATATTGCAGGAGGCCAAAAGGAGAAGTACAACAAAACCCATGTTTACTTTCAAAGAGCCCAAAGTAAGTCCAAATCCTGAACTCTTGTCACTTCTTCAAAATTCAGAAGGCAAACGGGGCACTGGAGCTGGAGGTGATTCTGGACCTGAAGAAGACTACCTCAGCTTAGGAGCAGAGGCTTGCAATTTCATGCAAAGCTCCTCTGCTAAACAAAAGACCCCACCTCCTGTTGCTCCAAAACCTGCAGTCAAGTCCTCATCCTCCCAACCAGTAACTCCAGTTTCTCCAGTGTGGTCTCCAGGAGTGGCTCCAACCCAACCTCCTGCCTTCCCCACCTCAAACCCATCACAAGGCACCGTTGTTTCCTCCATCAAATTAGCCCAGCCTTCTTACCGTCCTTCCCGGCCGGCGAGTGCTCTGAACCTGGCTGGTCCCTTCAAAGGACCACAAGCAGCTGTAGCCAGTCAGAATTACACACCTAAGCCAACAGCTCCCACACCAACAGTAAATGCTGCTCACACTGGTGGAATGAGACCATCCAACGAGCTTCCAGGAATGAGTGGGAAGGGAGCCCAGCTCTTCGCTAAGAGGCAGTCGAGAATGGAGAAGTATGTGGTAGATTCAGACACAGTGCAGGCCCATGCTGCTCGAGCTCAGTCTCCCACCCCATCTCTGCCAGCCAGTTGGAAGTACTCCTCCAATGTCCGAGCACCTCCTCCTCTGGCTTACAATCCGATCCACTCCCCCTCCTACCCACTGGCTGCTGTCAAGTCTCAGCCATCAGCCCCACAGGCCTCCAGAATGAGCAAGAAAAAGGGCAAGAAGCCCCTCAATGCTTTGGATGTCATGAAGCACCAACCATATCAGCTCAATGCATCCTTGTTTACTTTCCAGCCTCCAGATGCAAAGGATGGACTCCTGCAAAAGTCATCAGTCAAGGTCAATGTACCCCCAGCCATGAAGCAAGCTCTCCCTCCCCGGCCAGTGAATGCTGGCTCACCCACAAATGTGCAGGCTTCATCGGTGTACTCAGTACCAGCCTATACCTCTCAGCCTTCCTTCTTTGCAGAGGTCACCTCACCAGTCAGTGCATCCGCTGTGCCTGTGGGTGTTCCAACTTCTCCAAAGCAAGAATCAGCCTCAACATCTTATTTTGTGGCGCCGAGGCCGAAGTTCTCAGCCAAGAAAAGTGGTGTCACGATTCAGGTGTGGAAACCATCTGTTGTGGAAGAGTAATCTTGTAGCTGAAGCTGAGTGTCCACTTTGCTTGAGATGAATCGTTTGCAGTGTTACTTGAGTTCCCAAGAATGCCTAGCAAGTCCTCAATTTACTTAATTTCAGATATGTCACCTCCCAATCTGGGTCCAAGGAGCGTAATATTTTTAATGAGTCAAAAATCCAACTCAGATTGACTTAAAACATTTATCTTCTTTGCACACTTAAAATATATGGGAGGACCCCAAATAGACATATGCCATTATATTAAATAAGCAGGATACTTAGGATTTATGATTTAGCCACAAGAAAGACAGTGATCAGTGTTAGTAAACATTAGGATACAGCCTTTATGTAACATAACAGCTGTGTTCCTATGGTCAAAAAGTTCAAATGTAGTGAAAATGTAACATATTGACTGAGATTTCCCTTTTACAGAGTGCTTTATCTACTACTAGTGTTAAGAGAATAAGAAATCTACCAAGGACAGGGATCAGCTCTGGTCTGTCAACATCAGCCACCTGTTTGATACTGCAGAAAAGGTCCTCTGAGCATTGTTGGAATGTACATAGTTTAGTAAGAGGCGGGTAAGAAAGAGGGTTTCAATAATTACTGAGCACTTATATATAAGGTTATTTGCCAGATGTTTTTACACATATTAACTCATTTCAGAAGACTTATTTAAAGTAAATGGGATAGGGCAAGAAGGATATTGATCCTTAGAGATTGATCCATCCTCCCTCCCCAGTTACTTAAGGAACTAAGTATTTCTCCAATTGCTTATGAAAGCATACGTTTGTTTTCCACGGTGGAGGCAAGCAGCAGAGTACAGTGTAATGAAGCAACTTAAAAGGCAGGATGCCCAAAAGGTGTACATGACTATTATTTTACCTTGGGAAACCACAAGATTGGGACCTGAAGGGGTACTGACTCCAGGGGCTGTTTGTGAAGCTTGAGGAACCCCGTGCATGTGGAGACTACAGGGTGAGAACACACAATTATTAGCATCGTATTTGGGTGCCCTCACAGATTTTTTTCTTGAGTTTGTTTTGCTTTTTGACAACTGCTTCTCCCACTTGCTATTCTATTCTCACACCTTCACTTTATCATTCATATTTGATGGACCAGGATAATTCAGCAAGGTTACCTGCCAAGTTAGGTTGGTCACACACCATGTCGTCATCCAGCTGGCTATGAGGTTAGTAATGTTACTGAGAGTAAACCTGAAGACCTTTCTCATATCTATTTGAAGTCTGTCTGACCAACCATGGAAAATATTCAACATGAATTAATGTAGAGAACTATAAAGCATTTACGACAGCTTCAAGGAAAACCATGTACTCTATGTAGGAAATATGTTTAGAGACTTCTCATAAAAATTTGCCTGATTTGAGGGTACATAATACCATTTTAATCCACTGAAAATACCTTATTCCTGTTCTTTTTCTGCTGTCACTGTCAATCTGTTATATTTTTCACTATCCTATTAAAATATTACTTTCTTCATCTGTTCAATGTTTGTATTTTTAAAAGATCTTCCTTGTATGAGCTATTCTGACCCAAGTCGTTTCTGTGATATTTCTCTCATATCTCTCCCATAATATCTGAATTTCCTTTTTGTGAACATATCCATTTCTCCATACATTGTAAAACTTCAAGCTTCAGGTATTTCTAAAACATAATACACAAAGAGGAGAATTAAGTCAGCTACAGAACAATGGGGCTGATTCTTCTGCTTTTTCTCTGGAAAATCTCCCATTGCTTTTGGTGGCAGTTTAACTAGAGGTTACAACCACAGGATGTGGCTTGATCTCTTACTTGCCTTTTTGGGAAATCAATTAGGAAGATTAATACAAGATAAAGGAAAAAGCAGTCTATCTATTATGCAACACAGTTGTTTGTGTTACCTTTTTCCTACAAAGGAATCCTGTTGAATGCTGTGCATGTTACATTTTTTCTAATAGAACAACCAAAAAAGTCTTCATAAGGTGAAGCAGGGAAAGATATCGTTTTTATAGCTTTGTTTAACATAGCATTTGAAGGACGTCATGAATTAGAGGAAAGACATGAACACACAGGTAGTCAACTTGAGATCATTGGTTCAAAAGTATCCTAGGATGGGTGATACCCAGAAGTATTCCCAGTTGTCCAGTGGTTTGCGGTATGTAGGAATGAGAGGTGTTTTCAGTCCATTTCCTGTTGGACAAGTGGCAATCTTAGCAGAACCACTATTTGGAGAAGATGACTTAATATACAACTAACATGACTATATCTTCTAGTCATCCTGGGACTGTTTGAGGTTCCCAAAAAGCTTCTAAGGGACTTGTCAGGCATGCAGTCAAGGCATCTACAACCTCAACCAGGAAATGGTAGTTATAAGTCTCATCTTGGACAGTCTTAAAAGAAGGGCGGAAATTTCCCAAAACAATAACCACAACAGAGAGTCTGACCTCGCTCTGAGGGATATGGGAAGGCAGAAGAAATAAGCCAGTTCCCTGTTGAAAGAGGGATTTCCTTTCCTTCTTCTTCACCACCAAGGAGCTGTATGTTGGGGCAATGGAAGTGATGTCGATGTGGCAGGTGGGAGGGGTAGAACTCACAACATCAGCTTTCCTTCCACTGGGCACCCTTTGCAATCTGAGAGTTGATAGTTTTGTTGTGGTGGCAGTTGTTTGATTGGGTGATTGCCTGGCTCTGGAGTTTGGGGAGGCACTTTTTGTTTCATTTTTAGCATCTTACCTCTTCTCTTGTCATTTGTTAGCTTAATTTCTAGGCAGAGCACCCACAAAGTCCATTTTCATTGTCAGCATGATAGCAATGATCATTTACTGAGTTTCTATGTTAAGTGCCTTATGTACATTATCCCAAGGAATCAACTGCATCTAAACTAAGAAGTCACTGACTAACACAGTCACTGACCTACTGCAGGACCGTAAACAAATTTCTCTTTCCACGAGTTTACCCTTAGTGTCTCTTGACAGGAATGCTGTGCTGTAGTGAGTCTGTACAACACTTGAGATCTAGGAGGAAGAAAGATGCTCTGTAAATATAAGCACAGCATATTCCCATCAGTCTTATTAAAGGAGGGCAGATTGAGTCACAGAACTGGTAAGATTGGGAATCTAAGTGTGCACTTTAATCTTAGAATATTTGCAGTTTTATTTCTAATATATCAATAATAGATATTCTGTTTTGAGAGAGGAAAAACACAGTTTCTGCATTTGGGCTATTCATTGGTAATGTAAAGCATATATCTTTAGGAATTTGTTTTATAAGACACAATTGGGTTGTCATTCTAGAGCATGTAAAACTTTGCACTTCAAAATATATCTAGTATGATTGTTAATGATAATGTGTATCAAGCCTTTGCATCAACTATCTCATTTAATTTTCACAAAAAGTACCTCATTTTAACTATAGAAAAACCAATCCAAGTCACACACAGTTTTTAAAGATAAGCCAAGAGTTATTTATTCTAGATAGTGCTGACTTCTTTCAAGAAGTAGGCATTATAGTACAGCTGAGTATTATCTCACAGCCTAAATTCTAGCCTGGCAGTAAGAGTCACACAGGAGATGTCAAAAACAAGTGATGTATATTTAAGGGGGGTGGACCAACATATGTGGGACCATTTTCCCATTTGTAGTCACTATGTTAAAGAACTTTGAAGGTCATTTTGCTGCTGGGAGGCATGTCAAACATTCTGACTATGTGGCTCCTTCACAGTAAAGCCTCTTAAGGGTAGAAGACACATGGCTGTTAGTATATAAATGTGGATTTAATCTTTCAAATAAATGCTCCTTGCTGTGTATCATTTCATTGTGTTATAAATTAGTGAGCCTGCAAGCACCCATATTCTAAGGGTGAGTTCCCAAAATCAGTTGCTATTTCACAAGTCACTACCAATCTGGCAGAAAGGGTATTTGAAGTCATGGTCATCAGAAAGAAGTGATTGTTTTCTGAAAAGCTAAATGCTTAAAATGTTTCCAGAACATTCCAATCCTCCTAAAATCAGGGTCATTGAGTTTGTTTTAAAAATTTTTGTAAGTTCGTGAGAAAAATATGTAAACTCTATGAACCAATATTATATTCCCCAAACACTGACCCTCGCTGGTCTTATGTCCCCATATCATTGGACCCTGAGGGACACAAAGTCTCATGTAACACTTCTATGCTGCTGAGTTAGTCAACAAGTATTCTGGGAATAAGTAGAATTGAATTCTTCTCTAGATTTCCCACCAGGGTTGATCTAGGGCCATAAAGCAGGCTAGTAAATTCCCACATGTCCCAAATACTGGGCAAAATTGCTCTAGGAGGCCAGTCTCTGTTTATTCCTCTACAGTTAAGAAAAAAAAAGTACAAAAATGACAAGGCATCCTATAAACATCAGGCCAATCAAAACCTGTCTTTTGGGGGAGCCCTCAAATCAGAACTTTCCTTGATATTATCAAGTACAGGCAGTTTCTTAAATTTTTTTAAAAATTTATGTTCTATAGTATGTATATTTGAACACTAAACTACCATTTGGCACTTGGAAATCACAGAACTACTTAGAGGCAATTGAGTGAAGAGAAATTTAGTTAAAAAAATATCAAATCCTATCAGACATTTCTCGGACTCTTGATTTTATCAAAGATTTTCCAGCTAATAAGGTACATCTCAGGTGTAAGGAAAATTAGACTTCTAAAGGGTCCTACAGTTTTAAATAAGCTTTTGTTATACTGATACATATAATCTTTTCAAATTTTCATTTTTTGGCTCTAAATGTAAGGCTCTTCATGTTTACCCCTGTTAATCTCGTTCTTGACATGTTTACCTAAACTGTGTGCTTTACGACTGGTGAAATATAAATTTGTCCCCAGTCAAAATATCACAAGGGCTACTTTCCAGCCTACTCTCTTTCCTCTAGCTGATAATGAGAATACTCAATAAAATGGCATTCAAAGTTACCATGGAGAAATACTGCTTTCACAGTATCCTGAGCTCCTTGA